AGTGTAATGACTCGTTTCAGACCCTGAAAGTGGCACTTACAACGTCACCCATTCTTGCTTATCCTGTACCAGGCCAAACTTTTATTTTAGATACTGATGCCAGTCAACAAGCTGTTGGTGCTGTACTTTCACAAGAACATGAAGGAAAGGAGCATGTGATAGCTTACATGAGTAAAGCTTTATCAAGACCTGAACAATCTTACTGTGTAACTAGAAAAGAACTCCTTGCAGTCATTTTAGCTTTAAAACATTTTCATTCATATCTATACGGTCAAAATGTACTTTTAAGAACAGACAATGCCGCAGTTAGTTGGATGAAAAATTTAAAGAAACCCACAGGACAGACTGCAAGATGGCTCCAGGAGCTAGGTACCTATGATCTGAATGTTATTCACCGCCCTGGCCTGAAACATACCAATGCAGATGCCCTATCCAGAGTGCCTTGTACATCCTGTCTAAACCAACAGACCCAGAATAATGTGCAAAATATTGAAGAAGACAGCAAAGAGACAGCAATCCCCCAATGCACCCAACTTAATCAAATCAGAGCTGTAACAAGATCCAGACAGGTTAATTCAAGTGCAGGATTAATGAAAATTAAAGACCTGGTGATAGATGGTTGGGACCAAACCACACTGAGAAAATCACAATTAGATGACCATGAGATATCTGAAATTTTGATGAGAATAGAAGACAAAAAGCGCCCAGAGTGGAATGAAATCTCCAATCAATCCGCAGTTATTAAAAAACCTTATGGAGACAATGGGGTCGACTGGAAATACATCAAGGTCTTCTTTACAGGAAATGGATCGAAAACGAGACAGAAGAATTTCTGCAACTAATCGTACCAACACCAAAAAGACAGGAAGTTATCAGATATTTTCATGATATCCCAACAGGAGGTCACTTAGGCATAGATAAAACCTTAGATAGAATTCAGAAAATTTTTTATTGGCCCTCGATGAAACACACCATTGTCGAATACATAAAACGATGTGACAACTGTGCAGCCCAAAAGCAACTACAAGCAAGAAAGGCCCCTATGGGAAAATTACTCACTGGTGAACCCATGGAGCGAGTTGCCATGGATATACTTGGTCCTCTCCCAATGTCTAATAACAACAATAGATTTGTACTAGTTCTATCAGATCTATTCACTAAGTGGACAGAAGCATGTCCTCTCCCAGACCAAGAAGCAAAAACAGTGGCCCAGGCCCTAACCAATGAATTTATAAGCAGATTTGGAACACCTCTCCAACTATACTCAGACCAAGGTCGGAATTTTGAGTCAAAACTTTTAAAAGAAGTATGCAGCCTGTTACAAATAGAAAAAACAAGAGCGACCAGTATGAGGCCACAAGCAAATGGCTCTGTGGAAAGATTTAATCGCACATTAGTATCCATGGTTAAAATGTATTGCCAAGAACATCAAGACTGTTGGGATGTGTTTATACCCCAGTTGCTGATGGCGTACCGGTCATCAAAACATGCAAGTACAGGTGTAACACCAAATAAAATGATGTTAGGAAGGGAGATAACTCTTCCAGTCCAAGCCTTTATCCCAGAACCAGAAATAGAAAATGAAAACAAAGTTAAACCCCATGAATATGTAGAATTACTCCAAAGTTCCCTTATCAAAGCCCATGACCATGCAAGAAAACACCTTAAAGGAAGTCAGGAATATCAGAAAAAATATTATGACCAAAGTGCCAAGAAGAGAGAATTAATTGTAGGACAACCTGTATGGCTACACGACCCAACCAGGAAACCTGGCGTTTGTTCAAAGTTATTGCCTAAATGGAAAGGATCCTTCATAGTTTTGAAGAAAATTGATGATCTGATATATATGGTGAAAAAGTCACCACGGCAACCAGCAAAAGTTTACCACATAGACCGGCTAATACCGTACAAGGGCAGAAACCCACCAACCTGGTACAAGGTTAAAGTAGAAAAAAAAATGATGAGAAATGAAACTTGTAGTAATTGGCAGATTTGACACATATGTATATACTGTTTATTGTTAATTTTGTATTATGACGAGAGACAGGAAGAGTTACTGATGACGATGCGCACTTGCCAGTAAATGTTTTTATTATAGATCCTGTGACGTCTAGACTCATTGGATACATGTGGATAATCTTTTATTTTTAGAGTGGAATTATGGGATTGGCCATCCTAGGAATTCCGCTAAATATCTTATGTTATATTTAATACTCCTGAAGGTAGGAGAGAAATGAAGAAGAGAAGTCTTGTCCAGTCAGCAGAGAGACTGCTGATGATGCATATAATCAGTTTACCAATGCCATATATAAAGATAGCCCTATTGTTATCCTTGTACCAGTGTTGAAATGTGACAAAAGAAATAAAGTTATATCACTTGTTTACCTGAATTAGTTTTGTGTGTATAAAAGGCCTGTCCTGTCCAAGCCTCCTTTTTAGCCAGGTACTCAGTGTGGATATACTGCCAGTATCCTTTACCTTAGCAATACCTTTGTGTACAAATATTTAGATGTATAATATATACCTGTATCATTTACCAGTTCCCAATGAGAAGTAGCTGAAGTGCTATATTATACATATTACTAGTAAACAGAAAAAAAAAAAAAACAAACAAAACGAAAACCCTGATGTTAAACCATCCTATTACCAGGATTCCAGTCGTTCCAGCCATTTATTTTCCATGATTTATATTTGTAATGAATATAAGAAAAAAAAATGGTGTACAGTTAAGGGGAGATAATTGAAAAAAAAATGTAATTGCTACCGCATAGAAACCACTAAGTATACCAGCCACAGAAGTTGCTAAGAGAGACCAGTACCAAAATAACAAACCATGATTGCCTACCTAAAGAAAAATAACCATACCTAGCCATAAGAGAGACTGTATAAGAAGATATTTATGTATATATATATAACCAATTGAAAACTTTAACTTCATAAGTTGACACAAGAACCAAGAAATAGATATCTTACTGTTCCATGCTAAAATAAAATACCATGTAAACACCCTAACTTACCATCCGGTTCTAATCTATATCTTTCAGAATGAGACCTCTGAACCTAGACGAATGTTGGATTTGTCAGCAACAATTTCCTGACCTGAAGACTTTAAAAAGACATTTAGCCAGTAAGGGAACACATGGAGGCCGCCTATCTGTTGTTTGTCTGTGGTGCTTCTCATATGAGAAGAGATTCTCACGGATCAGTGACCTGAAGTGCCACATGGATGAGAAACACCCAGATATAGGACCAAAGTTAGAGAAAAACTTCATGTCCGAGGCCAATGGATACTGGTTCAGTGTATTCCCAGAGGACTACAGGAGATTGGTCACTAAGGTAACACCAAAAGGAAGTTCTACTGCAGTCCAGGCACGGAGCAACGTCACCAGTTGGTTGGGGAAATGCAAATCCATTCGTAGATTGAGACAGAGCTGGGTAGAGGATTGGAAGATGACGCATCCATGGAAGAGTATGACCCACTGTTGCCATCAGTCCTCACACTCCACAGCGTTCAGATGAACGCAGATGGACCCCTGATTGCCCTCTTCATGGTAAGATCCAAAGAGATGATCTGGTACCGGATAGAGATCGACCCAGTAATAAGAATGGTGGAGAAGTATTACGCTGCATTAAAGAGGAAAGCCAATACCATCAGGCCAACCGACATCTCCACCATGTCCCAAAGCGGATCACCAGTTTATGGAGAAGAATTTTATATCAAGCAACAGATGTGTGCTGACACACTAAACCTATCTCCTGCCTTGATAACCAGGATCGAAAGACGACCAGACATCTTCTCCTCCACACCAAAATCATCAGTCACCAAGACCAAACCCACCATGGCTCCAAACAACTCTCCACTTCCTATAGTCTCTATCTTTAACATCCTCATCATCAGAGCCAACATCATCTGCATCCAAGCCTCCGTCATCTGCATCTAAGTCAACCTCTTCTACCACCAAACCATCAGCTTTGATAACCAAACCATCATCTTTGATAACCAAACCATCATCTTTGACAACCAAACCATCAGCTTCAACAACCAAACCATCAGCTTTGATAACCAAACCATCATCTTTGACAACCAAACCATCATCTTTGACAACCAAGCCCACATCTTCCGCATCCAAGCCATCATATTCATCATCCAGGTCAGAATCTTCAACCAACAAGCCTTCAACAACTAATGTTCATCACAAAGATACACCAAGACTTCCAGTGGTCCTGCCACCTTCAACAATTTTGACAGCCGCAGAGGAAACCCCTACCCAGATGAAGGCCAGGGAGATCCTAACCCTGGGTTCCATGCCAGCCATACCACCTGCCAGAAGGGATTGGAAATCAACATCCATTAAAATACCAACTGGGACAACATACTTGGAGTGGCCACCCAGGGATTGGGAAACCCTAACACCAGACCGTAAGCTGTTGGCCTGGGAATTTGCAGCTTCCCAGTTGGAGTATCACTCCACTGGGAAATTTCCAAAACTAGACAGAACGGATTTGTTAGATAAATACAATTTCATGGCCCTTCCTGGCACAAAAGAACAGAAAATAAAAGACAAAGAAAATCTAGTAAGGAAATGTCGGTATTACAATTATGAAATCCTCAGAACAATCGTCAATAAAGACAAACCTGAATTCCAAGGCATAGTAGACCAGCTGTACACCACAAGGGACTTAAGAAACACGTCAACTGACAAAATTATTGATATTTGCAACCGTAGCAAAATTTCGTTACGCCTATTGTAAAAATAACGTACTACCTTTACCATAGCAGATAGAAATTAAATTATCATGTCAATGGAGAAAACCTTAAATCACAGTGGAAGTCATATATATTTTTTGTTTCTAAATAATGTGTCAAACACTAACTGTATATTTGAAATTCAGGAGAATTTCCGTTTCTAAGGAGGGGATAGTGTAATAACTGGAACAAATAACATTTGATAATTTTCACAACCTGGAATTTACCATGCCAACAGAAGAAAGAAATCAACTACAGATGGATATAAACTTTATTTGGTGATAACCTGCAACAGAAAATATTATTGACTTTATGAACATTAATTTGAACTGCACATATTGTAATTTTTGTATCTTTTAACTTTTTCCATTTTTTTGGCAAGTGCCCCCTTCCACTTGTTTACCAAACTCGTTTAACTTGATAACATATTTTTTAAAGATCGTAAGGTGTCTGGCACAAATATTCATATACCTGAAATTATATTTCAACCCATTATAAGTCCTGAAAGTGTCTAAGTAAGGAAATATTTAAGATTTTACTATCGGTCAAAACCATGTTTCTCGTTTCTCTGTGAAGAGCCATTTTACTGATCATGTGACCGCAGTAGGAAATATTTTTGTCGTTGTATCGTTATACCTTAAATATCAAAAGTAGTCTTAAAGAGTAAGAAATAAGGCATTGTATTAATAATTTTATTAAAGCTTCAATGTTTATACCTGTAAAAGAATAGTTTATAGGAATTATATTGTTAACCAGTTTACCGCTGGAATTTAATATAAGTACTCCCGGCGTCTGCTAGTACTACGCACTGCTAGAACTTGGAAACAAGTCTAGTTACAAATATTTAAGCTTCTAACTATAAAGTTTAATAGAGGAAAAGTTAAAACTAAGTCCCATCCCTTTGATAATTAATGGACAGGCATTTTAATGTCCATTTTGTATATTATTTCTTAATGTGCAGGTTTTCCTGTAAAGCCCCTATTTTGTCGGACATTTTCCTGTCAGTCCTGACTGGGTTCTCATTGGCCCTCAGGGATCCCTGGCCAGATCCCTTATTTTCGATTGGCTTTCAGGGATCTCAAAAGAGTATAAATAGGGCTCTGCTCAGTGAAATGGCGGATAACTTGTTAGCTCAAGCCTAACTAGTAAGCTTAACCATCTTCTTGAAAGTTTATCATTACCAGACCAATTCCAAACAGAAAAGCCAAGCAGGTTAATATACTTTATTTCATTATGATAAGATGAAGTATTTTTAAGGGAAAGTAATGTAGCGGCAGTTATCCCCAACCACACTGAGTGACCTAAATGTCCCGAAAATTATTACTAACTAAGGCGTCTGCATTTGTGTATATATATATATATATATGTAAATAAATATAATATACGTTAGAACTTTATTTTACAACCCGAATATGGAGTATAATGAGTGTATTGCCTGGCATCCATTCGTCTTCGGAGGTAGGAAATCAAAGATGCAGTATATTCCGGAAGAGAGCATAATGGGCCCTAAAAATTGTCAACAGACCCTTCCACAATTACTCGGCCTGTGGCGGCCGTTTGTTACAGTATCATCAATAATAAATAATCTTTGTCTAGTACAGATATCTAGTTCAGTACCAACTGTATTTACTAGGTGTTCGTATAAGTATTTTTCCTTCAAGTGACTACCAGGCCAAAGTAAGTGATCTATAAAAAAAAGCATTGTTCTTAAAACCAGACAATGACATTCATACATGGAAAGGTTATCCAACTGAGATGTATAGCTAGCAATTGATCGGATTAGATTGCAATTAGTGAGTTTTAATTATGCATGTATTCATGTAGCGCTGATAATTGACGCCATGTATCGGATATAACACTACAAACCACGGAAAATACCAACCGTGTTGGCTATTTCGTCCTTGTGGTATCTTAGGTAAAGTATTCAACACATCAATTTGAACATAATAAGGAAAAAATAATCGTCTGGTCATTTTCAGTAAATTCACTGTTATCTAAATATTTAGATTATTAAAAACAGAATAGATGTCTTCACCAATCATATATACAGTTAGCCATATTTGATATACATTGTCTGAACTATCTGGTTGCAATGCTTTTCAATAAATTTGGTTATCGCATTATTCTTGTTAAAACTTTTTGCTATTATGAGACGAATATACGTGATTTACGATCATTTCATATGAACACAGTATTTTTCGTTCGTTTCATGTGATCATATAATGCTTAAAAAACAAAATTTTCTGTTTCGAGTGTATGGTTTACCAATCCTAGAACTACTATTTAAGCACACCATTTTTTCTAGGAAAACAATAAATACATCGTAGAGAAAACGAAATGATTACCTTTATTGCTGTCGGTACAAATCTGTAAGTATTCTAAATATTCGTTTGAAGATTTGTCAGGATATCTAAGGTTTAGTATCCACTGTTCTTGTTTTTTCTTCCTATCTAAACAATCTTTATACATTTCTTCAAACTGTCTAATTGTCAGTCCAAAAACGTTATTTGATATTGTGATTCCTCCGTCGGAAGCTTGGAAAATTAATGGTGTGTAACGGCGCTTTCCACGATAAGGAAAACGTTTAACGCCGTATTTTTCCCAGTAAGTTACTTTTCGTATTCCATACATATTCTGATGGTTTCTACAGTTTGTGTCCATTGTGATTCTAGAAATAAAAATAACTAAATATATTGTATAATAAATAAAATAAATAAATTAAGCAGTCTATTCGGAGTATCGATATTAAATGTCTCTGACTAAAGTTGGCGTAATTGTTTGAGCTCAGGTAAATAACTGACTTTTATGATATTGAGAATTATTACTATAGCAATTACATAAGACTGCTTGACAAACTGGACAACTGGGATTTATTAGTAACAAATTTTCTACTAATACTACATCAGATAATGTATCAACCACACCAAGAAACCACCTTTACTATCTGAACACAATTATAGTAAAAAAAAATGCTTGCATCTAACATGTGCCATCGGTTTTCATTTCAATTGGAAATCATGGTATTTCATTGCAACACATGTAATATTTTATTTTAAACATTTAAACATTGCTTTTGGTGTTGGTTACAGATACGGAGAATCAGTTTATCAACTCACTACTGACCACACAGCCCTTTATTTTATTAAACGTGTCAACTAATGCTAATCGATTACTTCTTACATTTTGTATTGCCCGATTAGTTACTCTATGAACATTTGAAACATGATCCGATTACCCTTCCGGATAACCTGACATCTCTCACGGTTTATGGTATCGGTTTGTGTTGCTCAGTGTTTAGTTTTGTATGTTGTGTTTAGTGTACTGTTGTCTGTCTCTTTGACGCTTATTAGCATAGTAGCATCATACCAACTTCATCTGCAAATGAGATATACATTTCCCAACTCTTTCGGTATTCAAGATCTTGTAGCTGCTACTCACTTTGTAAAACGTTAGAAGTGTCTGAGGAAAAATTTTATGAACCAGGGTTATGTCAAAGAACGTCTCGTTTCGTCTTTTTTTCTTAAAAAGTACATAGGAAGATACCAAGACCTTGTTGATAAATATTCCGTATCAACTTCACAAATAATACATGATGGTCTTGATGTTTATATTCTATGTACTGACGTTGTCTATCATCTTGATTACGTGTTAATTAAGTGTTTATTTTATTTGTTTTTGTAATTTATTAACGTTCACTGTTTGGTCCTTTTTTGGTAACATCCTTTAGATGTGGCTCGGTACTTGTACATCCCGCCATTGTGTTGTTGTGCTGTTGTCAATTTTTGTATTCTTGTGTTTCAATGTTGCGTATGTGCTTTGTCTATATGCCATTTTTTTTTTCTTTGTCGACATATTTGTTTGTTTTTATAGTGATTGGGCTTATAACATAATGGTGACTGATGTACCCCTAATTTTGACATATATGCCTATTATGTCTGTTTGTTTCGTTCACACATTGTTGTCAATAAAATGGAATTGTATGCGACTGTCATACAAATGTGAGGTTTAACTAGCTTTAAAACTATATTTGACCACGGCTCCGTGTTGAAGGCCATACTCTGACTCATAATTGTTTATGGATATTTGTCTCATTAGCTCTCATACCACATCTTCATATGGTATTTTCTACATACGAAAATGCCTATACCAAGTCATGAATATGACAATTGTTTTCCATTCGTTTAATGTGTTTGCGCTTTTGACTTGCCAATTGCTAAGGGACTTTCCGTGTTTAATTTTCCTTGGAGTTTAGAATTTTTGTTGTTTTACTTTTTGCCCGATTAGTTAGTCTATGAACATTTGAAACATGATCCGATTAACCTTCCGGATAACCTGACATCACTCACGGTTTATGGTGGGTTTGTGTTGCTCAGTGTTTAGTTTTCTATGTTGTGTTCAGTGTACCGTTGTCTGTCTCTTTGATGATTTTTCCTTTTTTGCCATTGCATTGCCAGTTTGTTTTCGACTTATGAGTTTGAATATCTCTTTGATATCGGTTGGCCAGTCTTCGATAAGTTATTCTTTTTCTTACATTGACATTTGTTTTGTTTTTTAATGGAAATAATGTATAAAACATAAGGAACTATAACTGTATACATTCGTAATTTGTTTTGATGCAACGTCATCGACAATGTCTTGACAACACCTATTGTTGCATGACGTCAAAGAAGGGAAATAATCGACTTTATTTCACATGTGAAATAATTGGTGTTCTGTTTCACTGGGAGATCACGGTATGTGATAGCAACAAAAGTGATAATGTGTTTTAACATTTTGCTAGCATTGCTTAAGTGTGGGACAACAATTGTTTGGCGATTTTCAAATTTCACAACAACATGTAAGAAGACACAATTAAAAAACAAGAACACAAGAAAACCGATGAACTCGATTGGAAAGATACTGGGTTCGTCTACAGACTACGCGTCTCATACTGTACACTCACTATCCTCCATTTCCAATAAAGTTTCTTAAAGAATGTTACAATCAGCAATATTTAGCAGTTAGTTATTCTGTAAATATTTCAAATATCTGGGTAACGTCAATTGAGACTTCCAAACATTGTCCACATAGATTGTTTTACAATTTGATAACCAACATATATGTAAAGTTATTCGAACACACTTACACTGTTGTTATGACTCATTGAAAAGGAATTTCACTTGACCCATATATTTCATTTTTTAGTACTGCGAATTTTTAATGTTATCAAATCAACCTGCATACTAAAATATAAAAAGTTAACAAATATTCCGAAAGTCCAATTTATAATAAAAGTAAAAACATGTGAATAAGATGCATAAAATCCTAAATTATGCACCTTTATTGAACTTTTAAATCCCATAGAAACAGATGTAAACATTCAAATATACCAATTTGGCTTTTTTACCTTCGCTAACAAAAAGTTCCATTTATTTTGTTTAATTACAACTGGGTATCCGCCTGCGTATATGAACGCGGTTCTGCGTTATAATGTCCTCTGTTTGAATTACTCATAAGTAAAGTATTTTAATTTTTTAATTGATGGTCAACAGTAATTTTCTAATGTTAGTTACTAATATACAATCCATTTATTAAATCTTTTCACTCTTGAAGCGTTTTGTCGTTTTACTCATTGCTTATTATAGTGTTTAAGTTTTAGTTACTCTTGTGTATTTGCCTTCCCCTGTTTATGTCAGAGCAGTACAATGCGGTTTCTGTTACTGTTAAGTAACCAAACGCATAGGTTTTCAGGTTGCCATTAGATTTTTAGGTATTGATACGAGTTTGAATGCTATTAACTAACTACACATTTTAACTCTATTTGATTCAACATGTCAAGTTAAGTTAATCTATAACGTTCTACTTTTGTCCTTCCTGGACGAAGTCGCAAAGGCAAGGCATGTGCGTGCGGTCAATGTGTTATGTTTGTGACTCGGTCAGGATATGGTAACCACTGATGGTATATTCATGATATTTGATACGCTAATGAAAAAGCATTTCGTGGAGAAAATGTTCCAGATAGCTAGCATATAGTGCTCCAAATTTTGCACCTTTAAAGGTGCTCTCGGAAGTCAACATTAGGACGGATTCGTCGTTACGATAACTGGGACCTATCCGAGGTCATCTTTGACGCAGTTATCTAGTTACAATGAACCAACTTTGCCTTTAAACTTTTACGCGAATATAACAGACAGGCACATGTAAAACCCAATAGCTAGAATTAAAATGAAAATAAAATGATAGATTGAACACATTTTTTATAATGTAAGTCTATTATCATCCGACTTATGTACAAAGGAAAAAATATTATGTATAGAATGAAAATCACACAATGTGCATGTCATGCATCCGACGCGCATTTCTGGATTTATTTTCACCAGGAACATTTGAAAGGCAGTGATACATAAATACCTGAAAACTGTAGGAGCTTTATTATCTATATGACCAACGGGGAATAGCAAGCTTGGCAAAGTATCTCAGGTCAGATTTTCCTAGGCAGTTGAACTTTTATTTCTTTCTAATTTCCCAACGATAGTATGCTCGATTAGTTGTCCTAGATATCAACATGTAATTATGTTAAAAAGAAACTCACCATTGCAACGGCACACCAATTATTCAATGTTTTAAAACGTAATTAATGTTGAACGCCTACATTGACTCATTCCAATATTTCCACTTCCGGTTTTACAGATTCACTTTGTCATATTGTGTAGTATTAAAGATAAATTGAAAGTTAAATAACTAGCTCGCATACATGTAATTTGGATCTATATTTAGAACCTGATACACAAGCAATGTGTCATATAACTCACACACTCTACCAAACATGATTTATTTCATCGTATATGTGTATAAATGTTGTAGTTCTTTTCAAATTTTGTACATGGATATCACTTTTGTATTTAAAATTGTCATAAGGTAAAGTGAAATTTTGTCCTTATAATGTTAGTTTGTTAAAATATAAAAATGTCACGCTTACAAGTAATTGACGGTGTTTTCATGTAGAACTAGATTTTTAATTCGTAAGGACTACCCGTCAGTAATATGTCAGTATACATTTATGGACATTAATTTTACTATATACATTCTTGACAATTTTGCAGTAAAAATAAAACTTAAGATTTTTTCTATGTTTAACAATACTATTCCCCATGCGCAATCAAATGATACAATACATCGTTTAATTAAACAAAATGTTTCTATGAACACGTTACATTATATGTAGCTATCTTCAATTAACGTCAACATATACATTAGCAATTTTTTCTCTAAAGTATACAAGACAAATGAGTCAATTCTTCCTTTTGCACTTTTTTTAAGGTATATGTCGTAGCGTATGTACCTGTATTCTTTTTTTTTATAAAAATGAGGAGATGTGCCATGATTGATAATGGTACAAACATCCATAACAAACCTATTTCGATATTAGGAAGCACTAATATACTTATGTCTGTCTGTGTGAGCATGTGTGTGTTTGTGTGTGAGTGTGCATGTTTAATCTATTGATTTAACTCTTACTAATACAAAATACAAAACATTGCCTTAACTGAGGCCTGTAACACATTATATACACCATTGATTGATTGTTGATTGCTTAACGTCCAGTGGCAAATTTATCATGCATGTTTAGAAATAAAACACATTAAAAATACATAAAATAGATAGGTCATGTAATAAGGGCCTTTCGAGATGAAGGTCAGGATATTTGAATTTGACTGGAAATTGAAGGAATATTGCATAAAGACAGAATTGTTATATTCCAACAGTTCACGTACGGACCACTCAAATAGTTGTTACACATGTACTAAACGTGTAGAGAACACGGCAATTTCTTTACATGAAGCATCAGATGTAGATGTCCCTAGAATTACCATATTTCTTTTCTCTTGTCACCCTTGGGAATTAATATATACCATAGTTGAAACTTATCACTCTTAAATAGTTAATTATTATCTTGTACAATTGTGTGTTTAAAAGTCGTCTTCTTATACACAATAATGTTTCGAAACCTTATATCTCAATTACTTAATTATGCGTTTAAATTTTTTTATAAGTTCTTTTTTTCACAGGAATCACTAAATAATCATCCGTCATATCGATTAGCATTGGCATCTAACCGAAAAGAAACCTGCTATTTGTATGATGTCATGTTAAACTCTATCGGTATTTTCCATTGAAACCTAACAATCGACTTATTTTCAATAAATAACAAAACATTTTTTGTGGCGTCAACTAATCCGAATAACCCATTGATTCGTCAAATTATAATGAATTGTCAATATGATCAGTTATTAATAAAAACAGACATGTAAATAGGTTATGATTGAGGGTATAACTTTAACTATAACGGTAGATATTTCGTTTGTATTGACATGATGATATGGTCCAGAAAAGAAAAAAACTGTGGCGCAACCTTTGCTTACCTTATAGCTAAAGTTGTTTATAATCTGTGAACTGTATTGATATTTAGCACGGAAGGCGGGGATGAAGATGTGATTATGGATACCGACGTGCAGCTTAAATTTTCCAAAACAAAGCCCAATTCATATATTGAAGTCTTTAAATTTATCTTATGAAAAGATCATAAACCATTCATATATTTTTCTGTAATCATGTTATCAGATATACAATTTTGACATTTTGATTTGATGTAAAAGAATAACGCATCATGTAAACAGATAAATTATCGAAAGATGAAAATAACTGATCCTTTGACATTCTACCATGGGGAAATTGCAAACCATTGAAATATCAAAAGAGACGATTTAAGCGATACGTCTGTGTATACCTTCATACAGCCAGATACCCCCACCAATGTGATTTTTATGTAATTTGATAACATACTCTCATAAGTTGCAAATAACCCTGCATTGTAACAAAGTTTGTTTTAGCTCCACAAGGTTCATTAAGAAGTGTTCACCTCAGTTTTGTTTCTATTTCTATTTACTTAACATATAAATTTGCTACGTATTTTCTGGGTTTTTGGCCATAATTAAGATACAACAGGGGATATTCAAAACTAATAAGTTAAAGAAAAACTGACAACGCCATGGCAAAAAAAAACCGCATACGACAAAAAGACGAAAAAGTCCAAAATATAATGACTGAACATAATAATAATAATGATAATAATAATAATAATATCTTTATTTAAAGAGAGTAACTGATTTGGATTAAAGCAATTTTCAATAAGGCTCTCTAGACATCTTAAGATTTAGAGAAACGAAACCTACCAACAGCTGGATGTACTATTATGTGCTACTGAAAGATACGCAGTTCCTGTTTAGTATATATCACCCGTTATGTTTCTAATGCTAGTACAACTACGGTAAAAAGTCGCATTGGATGAGGTCACATTCGTGAAAAAGAAGAGGAAATACTGGTTACGAAATTGGAAGATATCTTTTCAAATTCAATGGTGTCTAATTTGCAGCCAGACTGGGTAAGATTCTATTGCATACTTTACTTTACGACATGATAATAAAAAAACATATATTGACTCTCTCTTCACCTCAAAATTGCGTACCCCAACCGCAATGAGTGTTTTAACCAATTCAGGATATTTTGACAGTGTGGTGTGATTTGTTGCTTTTTCTTCTTTTTCATCGCTATTTTTTCGGAGGAAAAATTTGTTGTTGGTTGGTTTTGGACAGAAATCATGTTTCCAGTTTTCTCGTGAGTTCATTATATTAAAAGTGTCAGAAATTGATTTTAAGTCAATTGATGTTCTTCGTCAAATGATTTGTATCTATGATTTATGTTTACACAATGTTGACATATATTTTCCATTATTGTAACGTTAACCAATTACTAGTATGTGTGTTTTGAATGCTCAAAATGCGAAATTTTATTTACATAACTGAACTACAAACAACTGGCATACACTCAACTAGCTATAAAAACCAGTTTTGACCAAGCTTTTTATTACACAGCACAATCGTTTGTTTTTTGCTTTTTTCCAATTTTGGATACTTGACTCTTGATTCTTGAAGAATGCACGCCTACATTATGTACATGCCCAGAAGCAAATTTTTCACTACTGATATACAAACGTGTACAAGCCTGACAATCAACTGAGTCTATTCTACATTTTGCACCTGCTTTAACAATTATGTGCCGTTACGTATGTACTGTTATTATCGTAATGAAAATTTCGAAATTTGATATGATTTCCAATGAGATAATTACTCATAATAAACACATTACAAATGTTAAAGGGGACGGATTTACAATAAAAACAGATTTTTTTATACTATCATTTAAGTGATAGGACTCATTCTAATGCATCCACACGACACGCCTCTCTTTACCCAGAATAAATCTCAATCAAAAATAACTCAACATTTAAAATGCACTTTATGTATGGAATATCAAGAAATTTATTTTTATACCAATTCACGCACTTACCTGATATTTGATACATAATCCATATACAAACATGATCAACGGGAGAAAATTCGTGTTTGTCCTGAAAAAAGTTAGAATAAGTCCCAATTATAAGTTCATTGTCGCTTGCCCGCAAACAAGGTTCACCTTACCATATCACATATGTGCCTGTCCCAAGCCCGGAGCCTGTAATTCAGTAATTGTCGTCTGTTGCTGTATATCGAATTTGTTTTACGTTTATTGTTTTATATGTAAATCAGGCCGTTTTTCTCGTTTGAATTGTTTTACCTTTTGTCGCTTTGTGGACTTTTAATATAGTTCTTTGTGCAATATGAGTTTTGTTCATTGTTGAAAACCGTACGATGGCCTATAATTTATTACGTTTACGCTATTTTGTAACTAGTTGAAAGTTGTCTCAGGCAATCATACATCTTTTTATTTTTTTGATTGAGGATGGAATTATTTTTGCAGTTTATATCGTATACTCACAGCCATTACATCAAATAAGTGAGATATTTTCTACTCTCACACTGTGCTGTTAATTCGTTTAACGAAAATTGTTTAATGCATTTGATCAAGATTAGATGATCATATAAACAACTGTTGATGTACTTACAAACAGTTGTCGTTTTAACTCTGACGTCTTTGGTGCTTTCCTCATGTTTAACATATTTGTCAAATGATTCTGCACATTAACTTAATTTTTGTATGTTGAAAGTGACATTTTAACATGGTTCTTTTTCGAAAACAATGTAAAACACGTTTGTAGTGATTTAACTTAGTCTTAAATGATAACTTTAATGTGGACAGGTCTTCAAACAAAGAGGAAATATCAACACCAGTTTAGAAAAAAGACAGACAACACGAAAACCAAAATAAAAAAGAAACAGTAAAATGATAAATAGTCCTCAATATCAAATTACAAAAAAGGCCATATCTTGTATTTAAAAGTATCAACGAAATGTATGCATGTTCAATGAATTAAACCAAGACTTATTATCATGCACATACAAATGTATAGATAACACTGTGATTGAACCTCAATTGTCAAAGTTGGTTTTTAGTAAAGTCCATATATTACTGATCTTTCCTTTATATCCAAATATATCAGGTTTTAACAATATTGTTTTTTTTATTAATCACGTAATTAGTAATTGGACAGGTTATTGCAAGTTTAATAAAATTGAGAACGGAAATGGGGAATGTGTCATAGAGACAGCAACCCTACCAAAAAGCAGAAAACAGCCAAAGGCTACCAATGAGTCTTCAACATAGCAAGAAAATCTTGCACCTGGGAGCGGCCGTCAGCTGACCTATACACAAAAATTGGTACTAGTTCAG